AGAGAGACCGCTAGAAAATAAATAAATCCGTGTCTTGGATGAAGAGAAAATCAATCTGATGACAAAATAATGAAGAAACTTATTTATTCTTTCATTCAGTCAACAAATGTATATTGAATACCTTTTACATAGCCGATATTTCCATAGCTGGAAGAGAACCATACACCTTCTCTCATGAGCTACAATCTAATTGCTAGCTTGGGAGAAGTGAAAAGCAGTAAACAAGCACACAAACAGAGACTACATCAGGGATGCTAAAGGCTATAAAAGAAAAAGATGTAGGATAAGTGGACCAGATAGTGTTGGTGAAGAGTATAGAGAAACCTTACTGATTTTGAATAGACATTTGGAAGAATTGAGGGAGAAGAAACCAGTAAGATATTTCATGGAAACACATTCCAGCACAGGAGGTGAGGTCAGGCAGTCCCCTGAAAAACTGTAGCGTTCTGCATTAAGTAGTGATAGAACTGGAGACACATTTCTAAAAGGTTAAGTCTGGCTGAACTATGGAGCAGGAAAGTCAGTTCAGTAAGCATTCAAGAGCTTAAACAAAAATGGTATGGACCTGGGCAGTGACAGTGGAGTCGTGAACTGGCAAAGAAATCAAGAGTGCTATTAAAATGTTCTCCTACGTGACTGAATTACCTCTTGAGATAAAGAAGGGTGCAAATGGAGCATGCTTGAATGAGAAAATTGGGAATATGGTTTTGAATACATTAGGGCTGATTTTGTCTTTCGATATACATTGGAGATGTTGAATAAAAGCTTTCTATACTCTGAGATGAGATAAGGAGTCAGAATTGGAGTTTTCAACATAGAAATGGTATTTAAGGCTCCAGACTGAAATTGTCTAACTGAAGATTCTGAGAAAGCCCAAGAACCAGTCCTGGACCACTCTTACATTTGATGGTTGTAACAGAAGGAAGAACCAGTCCTGGACCACTCCTACATTTGATGGTTGTAACGGTGATGGGGAAGAAGCCAAACCCAAGAGAATATGGGTCCTGGAAGCAAGAAGCACTTAGAATAAGGTAGCGGTGAACAATATTAACTCTCTGCCAGGATGACAGGTCCAGCAAGATGAAGGCTATGAATTGGTCATGGGACATGGCAATGGGGAGGCCACTCTAACCTTTCCCTTACTGCTAGATTTATTGAGGTAAAACCAACATACAAAAATAGCGTATGTTTAAGGCATGATGATTTGTTACTTGTTTGGCAAAATGTTTACCAAAATAAGGTTCATTAAAACAACCTTTACTCTATATAATAATAATTTTATTGTTTAGTGTTACTTTTATATGTTATATAAAACATTAAAACTCCACTCGTAGAGTGACTTTCAAGTATATAATTCCATATTGTTACTTATAGTTAGATCATTAGATCCTGGAGTTTATTTAACTCATAACAAAAAGTGTATACCCTTTTAGCAACATCTTCTTATCCACCTCACAGCCCCCAGGTGACCTTGATCTTAATAGAGTGGTATAACTTCAGCACAAAAGAAAAGCCCCACTGTTACAGATTTAAAGAGAAAGTAGAGAGAATTGGAGAGAGCAAACTTGGACAACTCTTTCAAGGACTTTTGCTATAAAAAGTAGTGAGAAACAGAATGAGAAATATTACAGCATGTATGGATAGGTATATACTATAACTCATAGAGAGGAGGAGAACTGATGTTGCAAGAGAGAGTGAGGACAAGACTCAAAGAAGGTGTATTTGCTGTGGTTCCACTGGAATTAAATAATTAACATTTGTCTAGGGAAGTAAAGTTATTCATGCTATTTCTTCTTTGTATATATACATACTAAAAAGCAGTTTTATGTGCATACTTTTAAGAAAAATATTTTTAATGGAACCATAATAGAATCAATGGAAAGTAAATAGCATAAACTGCCTTAGTCAGTGCTTGACTAGTTTCTTCCAAACACCTCCCTTTAAAGACTGTGAATATTCTTGTGGCCCTTAATTTCAGTAAAATAATTCATGTTGTGAGATTTATGACAGAATGTTTCTCCTCCAGCAGTATTTGGACTTACTGAAATATTTTAGAGTAAAAGATGAGATATCTGATTGAAATCAGCTGGGAAAAGGAGCTTAACTGGGTTGGTGAGGCAATGTCAGCCTTGAGTTGATGGTTGATGAAGCTGGGTGATGGATGTATGGTTGATTCTTTATGCCATTCTCTCTGCTTTAGAATGTGTTTGAAAATCTCCGTAATAAAAGGAAGGTTAAAAAAATTAAACACACAGTCAATACCCAGCTTAACCCAAAGGAATCCATTAAATAGTGAAACTGCAGACAATTTGGTTAACAGGTAAAGTATGGAGGTGCAGAAATTTTTCTGGCATTTCTCAAATCATATAGCTACTTTGCTTTTATATATAAACACAGATGACTTTCTAACGGATCAGGACATATCCCATTTCTTTAAAATAGGACTAATTTTGATGCTTAGTTACTGTGGCAATAATTTGGAAGACTGGCTTTTTAAAAATGGAATCTACTTTCTCTTAAATATCATCTCACTTTTAGTGAAGCATAAATATTTCTGAGAACGCTTAGGTCATGAATGAACTCTTGAGATGAAGCAGTCCTACACTTGATAGCCATGTTAATCCACTTGATTGTTTTTAAAAGAATAGTTGAATTAATGTACGGAAGTTTCATTGCAATAATGCTGCTTTTTAAAGAGAAATAGTAATTAATGAATTTTTTTTACTCATATTACTATGTAATGATACAGGTAAAAGTGATTTTTAATCATTAAGAACTAGCAAATATAACAGCACAATGTTGTTTCATTAACTCTTCAAATATTAACCACTAGGTATTCTTTAGTGTCTCTCATAAATCATTAACTATTATATGGTGTCATTGTTTCTCTGTCAGAAATTTCCACCAAGGGAGGATGAAAAACGAACTATCCAGTTTTTTTTTATTTTCTAGATCAGAAATACATTCAGATTTTATTAATAATACCCCTTCTGCTCACTGTATTTGGAACCTATAAAATCTACATAAGATATTAAGCCCAAAGTCAGCAGTGGAGTTTATGGTTTCTTATATGGCTTTATTGCCATCCATTTCCTTGGTGTAAACTACTGAGCAAGGGAACAAGTTTTCTTTTGTAACTGATACCTAAATTTCTTTTCTCCTTTAAGCATCTAATTTGCACTGTGAAGACATATAATTTGAGACTTGCAGCTATATCACCAAAGTCCAACAGTTTACGCAGATCTCTAATTTTCTGAGTTATACTGGCTATAATTTAAATTTTTTGCATGTTTTTAACTGCAATGCAGACCAGTATACATCAGAAACCTTTGTACATTGACAGCAACTTGGGAAAAGGATGCCTTGTTCTGATTTCAGATAAGCTTTCCCTTTTTAAAACTGCAGGTGCAGAGAGCCCATTCATACCAGTTATAGTCACTGAATGGAAATAAAATGTTATTACATGAGAACTTGACTGATCTTTGCATGCATAATGAATATTAAAAATGTATTATTATTAGCAAATTCTAGAGGCAAGTAGTACTTTATCCTTTGTCCATGTATTGGGAATAAAATATGCCCTGTTAACAAAAGTTTTGGTTATTTTACTCATGTGCATATGTTAACTAAATCTAGAAAAATAGTGTCAGTTATTAACACAGGATGGAATTATGTTTCATGAAAAGTCTGCTAAAACAAAATGAATGTTTCATATGAGACCATTTATAATGAATGTGGCCTTCTCTTTGTCATTTCACTTATTTTAAAATTGACATTTAAACCCAAAAAATTATCACAAGATGCAAACTGAGTAAATCTCTTTGAAATAAATATTTGACAGCTACATATGCAACTATTTGTTGAGGCTGGCTAGATGCTTCTGTTGTAAATCCTATTTATTAGGTAAACTCCTTGGCAGTTTTAGCTAGTGTCAGGCAGAAACTTGGCACATCAATTCAAAGCATAGGAGTATATTTTAGTCAACAAAATAATTATAACTTTCCTTGACCTGGAGCAGTCAAAGACATTCTCTAAAAGAATTTAAGGGCAACATGATACATATGGCAGTGATCACTGCATTGGTAAAACCAAATAGTCTGTATTTAAATCAATAAGTACTTGTTCTAAATTGATGATTATTACTATTACATTATATTTTACTGCTTGCTAAAAATTTAGTGCTCACCCTACAATTGCTTATAATTCTAACACCTTTTTATGCATCATTTGACTTGAATGATTCTTTATGATTTAGTGAGGACAAGCATGATCTTCATTTCACAGATGAGGACAATAAACTTTATAGGAACTATCCTCCCGAAGTAAGGTAATTCTGTCATAAGTAGCTTTCCTGTACCAATAGTTGTGAATCCTAGTCCAGGGTTGTGTTTCAGGGTCTCACTCTCAAGGGTCAAATTCAGTGAACCATCGGTTAGCCAAGAATATTTTTTAATTAAAAAAGAAAAAGGTGACTTAAGAGTAATTCATTCAGACTGAACACTATGGTAGAAGAAATTTGTGTGCTTAACGTTCCTATTTTTTTTAAAATGGACTCAAAACCGGAAGATGCCACCCATCACATCATTTGATCTTCAGCCTGCAGACAAGTGCAGGTTGTTAGTAGACCTAAATTCTAGAAAGATGGGGAGCATCTTCAAGGAGCCCTTCAAGGATAATGCTTTTAAATATGGTGCAAACCCTCTACACATTGACTTCTGTAAATTCAACCCCAACTTCTACTAATATTCCTTAACACCAAGAACAACACAGGGGTTCTCCTCATACAAATTAGTTGTTGCTGCCATTCCGGGATGGAAAAACTTGACACCTGGCCGCCCTCAGGTTGCCTGCGGAGGAAGATGCTGTCACAAACCAACCCTTCTGAAGATCTCAAGGCAGAGTGAGGCCGACTCCGGACCACCTATCTGGCCGGGATGCTCTTCATGACAGCCCAGACCTTTGGGGTAGAGAAGAAAACAAAAGGAAACAAAACAACTTACCACTTTGGCCCAGTCCAAGTACAACTGAAAACAGCCAGGCCGCCCGGAGCAATGGGGCAGGACCTCGCCGGCAGTTTTGCAGGCAGACAAATGCGGCAGTAAATAAAGCCTGGGCCAAGCGGCACATAATGTAAAGTAGCCCGCACCGCGCTCACAGCCTGGCTGTTATCCGGTTGCGCACTCGCGCCTCCCTGGCACCTGGAGACCGGCGGGGCAAGAGGCGCTAGGAAGTTTTCCGCAGGCGGGGTAGGAGGACGCCGCGCTTCGGGACAAGTGGTGCAGGTACGCGGGCCGGGGCACCGCTCGGCATCTCAGGGCCCCAGCGGCCCTCCCAGTTCGCGCAGCGGGTCCCGGAATCTCCGCTAGAAGCACCTCCTTCGACGGCCAATGGCCCGAGGCGGCGGCTCGAGCGAGGGCTCTGCAGCTCGCTCTGGGACAAAGAAAGGAGCTTTTGTTTCTCTCCAGTCGGTGGGGCTTCTGCTGCATAAATCAGCTTAGCGAAGAGCCAAACACAATCAACCCAAACAAAGCCCGAGGCTGGGGGGGAAAACCAGCCTAAATGTACATTCACTGGGTGATGCTACATCTGTGGGAGGGGACGCCGGCAAGATCGAAGAGGGAAAAAAGTCGATGCACATCAGTCAGCGCGAGACTTCCACAGGTGGACAGGGAGATCAGCTCTACTTAGTTGCAGTTTTGCAGTCCCGTCAGCTGAGAAGCGGGCAAAGTCGAAGCCGCAGGTCTTGGCTGGTGAGGGAGGAAGCTCTTGGTGCCAGCAGCCTCGGAAGGCGTCTCCCTGAGTCCTAGAAGCCCCCGCCGGAGTCCGCAGACCCAGAGCAAGGCATCACAACTCCCCGCTCGGCCGGGAGTGGAGCGCACCGCTCGAGCGCAGGAGGGGAGGTTCCGCTAGGGTGCAGGAACCCGATCTCGAGGGGCGGGAGCTTCTTGCCCCGGTCCTTTGGCCCCTGAAAAGGACTCAGGCGTCCCGCCGTCCAGAGCCCGAGCAGCTGGCGTGCTCTGGAGTGCTCCCGACAAGGATGCAAAGGAGGCGAATCCGGCGAGGGGCGGGGAGCAGTAGTCCTGCCCTGGGCCAGTTGGGTGGGTGGGGGGCTCCCTAAGTGCGGGGTATTTAGGCTCGTTCAGGGCCTCGAGTTGCTAGGAAACCTCCCCACGCTACAGAGCGCCTAGCCCCCGCTGCCTGGAGCGCCGCGGTGGCTCCTAGAGGCAGCAACAGCGTGGGCGGGACATTGGTGAGGCATGAAGTCACCGCAACCCACACTCGCTCTTTGTTTTGCTCACTCCAGCTCTTTTTCTCCCTCTTGGCTCTGGTAGTTGCCATTCCCATCGTTCACAAAAAGTCCTGAAGTGTAGCCCGGCTACCGGAATCTCACGCCCTATTCCTTCTCACTCCCACCCCCACCTTCCGGAATCCTTGCACCCCAACGTTAGGTGTGGGTGTGGATATTCGCTCAGCTCGAGTGACAAACCCCAACCTCTCACCCGACCGCTGCACTCTTCTTTGTTCAGACATTGCCCCGCAGACTGCCGCATACAAAGTGTTATCCAAGGGCTTCTCCTAGTTCTCAAAACCCTCTGTTCAGCAGGGGCGCACTATCCACTTTGCTTGTAGAGTTGGGAGCTCACCCTTTGCCCCACCCCCAAATCGTCCGGAGTCTCCCCAACCCTTGGAGAGTTGGGTGAGTCCACGGAGGCTGTACCCTGAGCTGCTGGCCAGGATTTTTCGTTCTCCTTTACTCAGATTCTCTGTCCCGAGCTCGAGAACTCTGGCTCTTCCGAGAGTATGGTGGTGGCTCCCGGCTTTTGTTAATTACTGTGTGTCTTTGACCTTCCTAATAAACGGAACAAAGAAGTTATGTAGGACGGCTAAACTAGGAGAAACAGAAAGAAGCTTAGGCGAGAAGGTGAGAGGGTATTTCTGCCGCTTGCAATTTAGAAATTTAGGTGCAAGCCGGGTGTGTGAGCAACTGTCCGGGTGGCCACTTACCTCCTGGGGTCCTGTCTCTGCCACACTAGGCCGAGGGAGGGAACCTAATCCCCACTCTGAAATAAAGGCAGTTTGCAATGTGAGACATTACGGTGATAGTTCTCTTTTTTAACTCTAGGGGCAGGAGTGTTCCCTTGGAATAGGTCTGACCTCTATTCCCTCTCTCCCCTCCCCACCTCCCACCCCCCAGCTGTGTGCGGGCCTTTTTCATAGAGCACCCGCCTTTTACAGGCGTCAGTCCAATATAGCCAGGTCAAGGTGAAATATGAGGGAGTTTCCATCTCCATATTTGGAGTAAAAGAAAAAACAAGTAGGAGACTCTCTCTCTTTTTTTTCTTTCTGTTTTCTAGTTGTTAGCAGTGAATGGAAAGTACCTGTCTATTAAACTACACAGTGAAAACTCCCGCTTCCAGGTGTGGACTGTACATTGGGACCCACAGAATTAGCTAAGCAAACCAGGACCTAATTTGGAAAATTACAAGTGCCCTAGTCTATAAAGCAGGAACTTTTGAGAGACCACAGCCCTGCAAAACTTACTCTTTAATACAATCACACTGTAGGCAGTGCAGTTTGCTAAATGGAGAGGATTGAATCTAGCTCAGCTTCATTCATTTTCTTTCTTTAGTTCGAGCTTGAACGGCTACAGTTTTGCTTTCCACGGTTTTAAAGGAAGGGCCTGAAAGAGTAAGAATGGGGATGAACACTTGAATTTAGAACACAAAAGGCTCATACTCAAGCTCTGATTAGTGACTATCGGATGGAGGCAGTGAAATTGTTTATTTTTCAGAAGTTATTTGCTAGCCCTAAGGCCACCCTTAAGAGAGTGCAGTGCTACATTAAAGGGGAAAAAGTAAATTTGTGATCCTTATGAGTATATAAATACACACTATATTGTAAAAAAACTATCACATTAGTTCAGTGACATTAAGTTGGATGTTAATGGAATTAGAGTATTAAATAAAGTTTTATACAAAAAATGTGATTTTGTAAAATTGATGATGTACTAAGTTTTTAACCTATTATTCAGTGTTAGTATAGTCTATTGAATGTATGCTGAGCCAAAACAACTCTGTAGTAAGGGGAATAAAACAGGGTTCATGAATCTGTTACAGGAAAGTTTGAAGCCCTTTAGAAAGACTAATATGCTTTTGTTATATGAAGCACATGCAAATGTGTACTGAATTCTGGTTTTATGGAGTTGTTGAAAATAAGCGTAGAACCATTTGTCACCACTTCCCAGTTGTAAAGATAATATTATTCTGGCTATCAAAAAACAGTTATCAAAATCAAATACATAGTATCCTGGCTGCGAGACTCTGATGCCTGCAATTATTTAAAAACAGATTGCACATTTTGGACAATAAAGATCAAAGAGTTCTCCAGTGAGAAAACCAGTGAATCATATGTAGGAGTTTCTTATGGTGAATATAACTAATAGTGCAGTAACAAAAGGTTTTCTTGATTTCAATAAGTGTGTCACTGGTTATCACAATTCATCTTTTTTCCTGTAAGAAATGTAGTGATATTGGGAAGAATTTTCACCATGTTATGTGAAGAATTTGAACAGAAATGGTGATTTGGTTAATTCCTGTTTCTGTTGGGTTCTTCTGTCTTGCATTGAAATTCCTGAAAGCTAATTTTTCATTTGTGGTAATGAAAATAAATAAATAATATAATAACAAATAAAAATAAATAAATAAAATTCACAAGTAGTCTAAAGTAATGTTGCAGCTATTCATTCCAGACTTCCTATCACTAGATTCTTTTAGTTTTAAGTAAGCTATAAATTAGATGACTTAACTTTCTTCTCTACTCCTTTAACCTTAATTTTTCACTAATCCAATTTATGGTTAGAAATGAATCAGTTCTAGGTAGGGGTGAGAGAGAAATCTGAGAGATTGCTCCTTTTAGTGTGGATTCACACCTTCACTAGATTCTTTTGGTCCAAGTTATTGAACTCATAGTTACAGCTAAAACCATACTCATATTCTAATATAATATCTTCCTGAAATGGGGCTCTGAAGTATTCAATAGGTTTTAAGCAGATGTTTACAAATTTTCCAAATGTGTGCAGCTCTTAGGAGATGAAGAATGGTTCAATTACTGGGCTATATTGTAGTTGATACAACTTCTAACTTTTTCTAATGATAAAGGCCAGAAGCTATTGGAAAGTACCTATCCCTGACATATCACAAAAGGTTGTGGTACTCAAACTCTGGACTGTAGACTTTGCAATGTAATTACCTATAGACTGATTCCTCAGTTCTATTTCAGGAGATTCTTGAATTTATAGATCTGGTAGGGAACCTTGTAATAGGTATTATAACAATAGCCTCAAATGACTCTCATACACATGAAGTTTAAGAATTCCACCATATGGACTAACACAGAAACTCCTCAAAGGTCTTACATGTACTTATTAACAAATCCCACTGTCACTTACATGCAAGGAAAAATAAAATGCTGCAGCTAATGCCCCTTTCCTTGGGTGATTAACTCTCTGAAATGTTAATGTGACTTTGGGAAATACATGGTAAAAGTTCAATTCTTAACTGGAGAAATTTCCAGAAAGTGAAATAGGCCAACATGTAATTGAATTCTTCAAAGGAAAAAAACCTTTATTCAAGGGATATGTGTCGATGACACACTTAATTTTCCACAAAGCTGAGCAAGTGCCATTTTATAAATTTATAAATATGTAAACTGAGAACTAGGTTGAAAAGACCAATTCACTTCTTCAAGAAAATTACCAGGTAGGCAGGCAGGGATCAGATAACTTCTTGGTTTCAAGTAACAGCCAGACAGTCATTTCCATAATTAAAAGTGAAGTTATTGAAAGGAAACTGGAGCTCACAGAATGAGCAGGAGTCCAAGAGACCAGGGCTGAATAGGCCAGAAGCCAAGGGAAGCATCAGCAGTAGCAGTAAGTGTCCAGCAAATAAAAATGGTTTCTAATCAGCCTGTCATCTTTGGAACACGTGCTCAACATGCACAGTTGTGGCTGGGAATGTCTGATTTCCAGAACTTTTAATTGCCTATCACTTTCCTGGCTTTCCAGTGGGAGGAGTGGAGGAGTGTTTAACAAAAAATTGTGCTGCAGGATGTTGACAGTGGGAAAGGCTATATGTATACGGGGACAGGGGTTATATTTTTCTGTGAACCTAAAACTACCTTAAAATAAAGGCTATCTCTTGCTCGCGCGCGCTCTCTCTCTCACACACACACACACACGTACCACCACTACCAAATAAGATTATTGTGAGAATCAAATCATAGGGGATCCTTTGATTGAAATCTTTTGATTCTTTTAACGAAACATGTTAGAATTCACCATATATTATCCCAAGGTATTTTTCAATGGTAATTAATATTATTTTAATTTCATAATATAAACCACATTGAATATACATAAATACTTATTTCAGGACTTGCACATAATCATAAAATAACATTGAATGTATTTTTGCTGGATACATCACTTTACTTTTTTGTAACTATATATTTATCACACTAGTAGAGGTAATATACGCGTTTTTTTTTTTTTTTGAGATTTATTTATTTGAGCATACAGAACTGGGGTACAGGCCAGAAGCTCAGGAGCGGCGAGAGGCTTCACCAGAGACAGAGTGGGGAGCAGAGCAGCAGGTTGACGAAGTACACTGCTGAGGGGAGCAGCGGGCGGGTCAGGAGAGGTCTGCCACGCCATGTGGTCACCTCCGGGGCAGGCGGAAATCGAACTTCATGCGGAAGTGGCTTTAACTTCTCAGTGCTGTGCCTTAACCCGCTGCGCCACCAGGGAAGGCCAATGTACGTGTCTTTATGTATATAGAAACCGGAAGTCCTAGTATTCTTTATTATAATCTATTTTTATGTCTCCAAATAAAAGTATTCCACAATTTAAGTCATCTTTGTACACTTTGATA